TTCTAATTACACCTATGAAATACCTTCCTGCAGAAACTTCAAATCTAAGCTCCGGCTTCTCAGGGACGTCGTATAGGAAGCAGAAGGGCCCGCAATTTCTAGATCAGTGGCGGCATAATGTGCCTTCTTTGAGCGCGTCGCGCGTTTACAGGCGGTGCTGCGGTTAATACCGTAGTACGTGCATTTTGTGTTTGGTTAACATTCACACAAACGATATGCATGTGGTTATAATTGGACCTATAATACAGAGGCTGTTATACAAAAGAGACTATTGCTAACTGCTTCTAAAATAACTTAAAACACAAAATTAATCATCTTAAATAATATTCATTCGTAATAGACTTGAATTACGTATCTGACAGTCAAAGAATGCGATTTGTGTACGTATGGACATAACAAAGCAGGAATACCTGGATAGCGTAACAAAACCATTTAAGCAAAACGACTTGTTAAGCTTAGTCAATTTGTTCGAAAAAGGTAAATTTATTCAGTAATTGTTATATATTTAGGATTAATTTGCCTCAGTAACCATTAATATACACGTATAAACACCTTATATTGCCTCTTCTCCATTCTTTTAAATTTTGCTAATGGATGCAGACTACTACGAATAACCAGTGGGCCACTCTCCGCCTATTAACATCTTAAAAACCTCCAATAAATGCGCCCCCTATAAATTACTTCAAAGCAATTTATCCAGTAAATATTATATATCAAGGTTTACTTTTCTTCTCTGATCTCTCAAACATACATATGACCGCCTTCTTTTTCTTATACGATAACAATTAGCCTTTTCCAAACACTTCTCCGAATTTAAGAAACAGTGAAATATATGTCAAAATATACTACGAAAAGAACGATTGGCCTTTGAGACCGAACTAGTCAAGGGAATAGCTAACAATCCAAAAAGATTCTTTTCCTACGTGAACAAGGCGAAACGCAATCGAGATTCCATTCCTTGTCTAAAAGATGACCAGGGGAACAAGTTTACCGATAACTCAGATAAGAGCGAACCCCTTGTCTGACTCCTTTATGTCTTTGCGTACCGAGTAGCCACCTTTTACAGAGGAGGTACAGCAATATATTGTCCCAGCGGCGCATACAATTTTTTTT